TTAAATAAATAAAATGTCAAAATCTTTAACCGCAACAACTGCAGTAATAAATATAATATTTCTTTTATTATATCGAATAAATTTACATAATTACTAAAATAACCTTTAGTCAAAAAATTTGCAGTTTTATTATAGTCGAAAATCTTCACAAATTATGCATTTTTTTAATTAAATGTTAGAATTTAAAATTTAATAAATGTCCAATTGTACGAAATTTTCAAGATATATACTATTTAATATAATGCATAAGTTTACTTAGAACATCAAAGTCAATTTTATTTAATAAAAAAAATTTTTTTTCTTATTAGTTGATAATTTCAATTATTATTTCGATTTTTGAGTTTCCAAGTCATTTTTTTCATGGGAGTGTACATATTATAATATAAGGACCAATTTTCATTGGCTTGGTTAATTTATGAGGAATTAATGATGCAGATGACGGAAAAATTCGGAAGGATTCTTTAATACTGCATTGATATATTTCATTTCCTTAAAAACAAAATGTTTTATTAGTTAAGTTGATATGCAAAATGTGAAAAGACTGAAGTCGTTATCTTTAATTGTTCCGATGTAGGTATGATTGGTTCATTTCCAAGTACATTGATTACTTTTCGCGCGCTCTCTTGCATTTCCTACGTATTTTAAATTTTATTTAATTATAAAGATGATTAACAAAAAAACAAAATAAAAGCAATTTGAAAATTTATTTATCAAAAGCTTACTGGATATTTAGCAAGAAAATATAATGAGGTGCTTAACGTCATTGAAGTTTCTGTTGTCATAATAATTATCATTATTAAATCAATTTAGCTATAAGAATAAAAAAAAAAAATAAATAAAGGAAAATTATATTTACTGTCATGACCAGCAACGAAAAAGCCAACCATCTCATCCCTTAATTGCTTGAAATCAGTACTAATTCCCTCTTTGTTACCATGCTGTTACATACCTGTTAGCAGGTCAATCCGACCATTTTCAGAATTAACATAATTGGAAACTTTCTTATTTTCAATTTTATTTCTCTTTTCCTTAACTTCATTAGCTTTAAAGAATTTTCTATTATGATCTGTCGGTAATTTTATTAACCATGGAAATAAAATATGATAAATTGATTCCGCAGTTGAAATTATAAACTTATATACATTTATAATATGAGGGGTTTCGACGGATTTCAAGCACTAAAAAAAAAAAAAAGATTATGAATTTTTTAAAAATAGATTAAATATAATTGAAAAAATGCACCAAATTGATATCCAAATGCCAAATTTCCAAGCATTTCGATTGTGGTACGTTGCATAATTTCGAATATATCAATCGGTATATTTAAATTTTGTCGCGTGAAATTGAAAAGTTCAAATGTAGTTTCCCCAACAATATCTGGGGACAACGCGTTATTGAAAGCAGGATTGCTAATTTCCTATAGGTTCGCCATTTCTATGAAATGATTAATTCCTTTAGAAAATTTAAATTATAGACATTGAAAATTTCATGATAACCTTATACATACATCTCCATATATCTCCATTCGAAAATAATAAACCATCACCAAAAAATTCGATCAAAGCTCATGAAGAAGGCATACTAAGTTTTGGAGGATCATCATCCTCTATAAAAATAATTTGCTTAATTTTTTTTTTTTTACATTAAGGCACACCTATTTTTGTAAGTAATACTTAAGAAACGCAGGATTATTGATATTAATGGCGTGGCGTTTTAACTAAAGATGAGATTCTAAAGGAAAATAAAATTTCAAAGTAAAATAATTATTCAATAAATAAACAAATTAGAATATTAATATGAACAAACCAAATAAATATCATAATCTCCTGAATATTTTGCAATTGTCTCTTCAATTACGTGATGATGTTTTTGTTGTAATAACGCGACGCCCATAATATAGGCCAAATAGAAATGTGATGGAATATTTTCAAGATTCTTTGGTTGTTTATTTTTATTATGAATGAAATAAATGATAGCGATATAATGATAATGGATATAATTACGAACATTTTTTATAGTAAAACATTCAAAGAAAAAAAGAAATTCTATCAAATTTTATATAGTGCTGGTATTCAATTCGTAATTTGGATAGAATGTCACTTTCACGATGTCGATCATTTCTAAAATTCGTGCTATAAATTTATTTACTTTTTGCATCTATAGATAGAAATATTCCAACAATAATATAATATATATTCTTATGGTGGAATGAAAGATAATAAGCGACATACAATGCTTCTTAAAGATTATACAGTCAACGACCAAAATTATGCGGACATTTTTAAAATCAAATAAATTATATACACATAATATAATAAAAATAAGA